AAAAAAAAAAAAAAAAAAAAAAAAGGCAACAATATTGAAACAAGGCGGCTTGAATTATTTGAACATCAGTTAAAACGAATCAGCTATTCTATCGACAACTCGGATTAGGGAAGCACAAAAAATGAGCTTCCGTTCCTATTTCGTTGTTTTTTTCCTGTTTGAATCCGGGTATATTGTTTAGTGCTAAACATACAAACAATACTTGAATATAGAATAACACCTGTTAAAAAGACGAATCCCATATTCAGTTTCTACTAGGTGATTCTAGGGAAGTAGAAAAAAATGATTTAAGCTTGCTCAGTACTTCGTGWTTTTTCCTGTTCGATATTCTKGTATCATATTMAGGTTCAGTGCCAAACAATATTCAAGTGATTCATTTGGATGTTTTGTTTTCAAGCTGAGCATGCTAAGTTTGACATTTTAAAACTAGCATTAAATACAGTTCTAGCCCTACCACTAAAACATTTACCGGTGTTGAACAATTTTGGCTAACGAATTACTTCGTTAAAATGTATGTCATGCATCGATCGATATTAATCTGAGCTTAAAAAAAGAATCATATCAAATTGAAAGATATATAATATAGTCAGGCCCAAGTGATCACTGATTTCCTGCACTTCATGCCACTAACTCAGGGCATTTGGGATTTCTTTGTTCGGGTTTTTACTTATCTTGATGATCCCAGCCTTTCTTGCAAAAGAAAGGGACACGGCAGGTATGCGGCTCTTCTGTGAACATACTTCTTTTTTCTTCAGCATTTTCAACATTGTCAAACGAATTTCCTGATTACGTATATAATATATAAAGGGGTTCCAAGAGGAGTTGACGAACAAGGCAGTGTCTGTCCAGGAATAAATTGTCTTTACTACAAGTCCATATCCTCGGACGCTATAGTACACCATGATGCAAAGGGTAGGAACGTATGAGAGAAAAAATAACCCTGTTACTAAACTGATAGTTTTAGTCAACTTTCTTTCTTGGACGATATTTTTCGTCGCGTTGTTCTTGTGTGCTTCAATTATGGACTTTTGATGACGCTTGGCCAGGCGAAAGATCTTGATATAAAAGAATGTCGTGGTTGTAAAACTTATCACGATGATTAGGGAGCAAACGGCGTGGAAGTGAAACGTACTGATTCCAGCAAAGCGAGAAAAGACTAAACCAAAGCTGAATAACCAAATGGAAACTGAAAGTGCAACCACGTTTCTTTTGCTGATTATTTTCAAGTACAGAAATGGCCTAGAAATAGCAACGTAACGCTCAAGACTGATATTTGCCAGCGTCAGAAATGAAACCCCAACAGCCAACCACGCAGAAGTTGAAAACGATACATGAACAAAGCACACATAGGTACCATTTAGTTCAGCAGCCTTGTAGGCAACATACATTGGCTGAACAACTAGACCGACCAATAAATCTGAGATTGCGAGATTACCAAGCAGAAAGTTCGAAGGATTCTGGAGAGAGTTGGTTTTCCATAAACTGAGAATGAAAATAAAGTTGCCAACAGTAGCGACGATTCCAAATACAGCATTCAATGCTAGAGTCAGAATCGTAGTGATGTATAAAGTCCCATCATTTTTGTTAAATAAAAAAACTTCAAGAAAAAGGCATGGAGTAGAATTCGGTGTAGATTTGGTCTCGTTCGTTATAATTGAGAACCCCATTGTAAAGAAGTCGATATTCCGCGCGCAAGATGAAATCAAATTAATTTTGAGTCGTGGCTTTTTATGATACGAATTATCTGTCATATGATTAGTTTTTGCCATTTAAACTGTTGCTTTGAAGTGCGTAACAACCCCTTTCACTTCTCATTCAATGCCTTATTGGAGCACCCGTTAATTTTCTTAATCTTTTGTCATCTCGAATAATAAATATTAAGTGCATGTGACGTCGGTTTCGACGAGATAGGAAATCCTGTAGTATACTGAAATATGTCCATTAGCGCTGAGCATATGATATCTTACAATTAAGAAGTCGTTTTCTCAGTTTTCTTCTGAAGTGTTCTTCACTAAATACTCAGTCTCGGATGTTTTCCAGCCATGCTTTTTGATACAGCAGACTTATCTTATCATATTTTTGATCTGATTTTCTAATTTATCACTAGCTGAAAACTTAACAAAAATGCTGGCCAGTTTTCTTGTTTGTATCAGCCTCGAGGTCCAATTAATTAATTAAGGCAATGCATTATTCTTCTTCGCTCATCAACATTGTACCTTCTGGAATTTTCGAATAAAATTTTTATTTATCTAATTTTATTAGACTACCTCATCAAGGGAAAAGTCTCCTTACTCCATCAACCCTTGTTTTGGGCTTCCAGGATAGTCAAAATTTTTTGCCGTTTTGCAATTTTATTTTATCATTCAAACAAGCACGACTCGACTATTCGCAAGCACTTAAGCTGAAATGCTCGTTGTTTGGACTCGCTTCCCCTTTAGCTCCACTATTGTGATATTTTAGGCAACGTCTTTCTCACTCGTCAACACTATAGTTTCCTTTCAGCTAGAGGCAAATGAAAATTATATTTAGCAATTAGTCCTCGAGCCTGAATGGGCTATTAGTCAACTGACTGAATAGCCCACGAGGCCGATGACCGAATTGGCTATTGAATAGACCCTTTTCGAGTTCCAAATTACCGCTGTGTTTCTTGATTACAGACTCATTTACTCAGGCTTAGCCTCGAAAGTGTGTAAATATTTCTAAATACCAACGGTAAAGTAAAGAATGCACAACTTCAACAATACGAACACTCTGAAACTTGACGGACCTTGACTGGAACACGTGATATTCTTCACAAAATCGTGGCTAAGCCTGAGTAAATGAGTCTGTAATCAAGAAACACAGCGGTAATTTGGAACTCGAAACGGGTCTATTGACTCATAGGCCATGAGGGTTTAAGTACATCCAAGTAGAATGAGGTGTTTGATTGACGGCAGTCTATTGCAATCTACACGACGCGTTTTGTGTCTGGGGTGGCCGCGTAGTAATGCAAACGGCGGTAAAGTTTATTTCAAATAATTTTTAACATGATAGATTAGGAGGTCCATAATACGCGGGGATATTAAATTTGTCATAGCCGGAAGTCCAATCCGGCTGAGGCCATTTTATCCGTTTATTTAACATCGTGGTGATGAGATTTATTTTTGCCGGCCCAGAAGATTCAACTCCTCAAGAATTTGTGACTTCAAGCTTATCCAGATTTTCTCTCTAAAAAACGACCGGTTTTTGCATTTGGTTAACAGCAGTTCCATTTCATTAGATTAAAGCTTATTTCAAAGAATAGTTAACGTGATAAATTATTCAACTCTTTATTGTTGGACGGTATGAGTTCTTTCAGATTAATATGAGGTTGATCCGCGGAGAAATTAGTGAAACTGTCCCGGCGACTGCCGTATTACCCGAATGACTATGCAGATTTGATCCAACTTTGCATCCCAGTGTGATGTCTGTTGATACTGAATTCGAATATACGCATCGCGATCGTCTGCACGCAATCTTTCTTACGTGATCTCCATTCCATCCCTCTGCACCCATGTCCCATACGCTAAATTCCACCAAGTTCGCGATTTGTAAGTTACTCTTGCTCTAACTCCCGCGGATCAAGGTTCATGAGTCCAAATTATGTTTCAGGGTTGGATAATAAAAAGGGAAGGATAACTATAGTTGCCCGTTTAATCATCCCTCGAGTACCTTCTGCATAAAAACGCCTACCAATTTAGGATCCGTACTACAGGTGAAGACCTATAGAGACGTATCCTTTGGTTCTAGATGAAGCCTTGAGACCTATCCTTTGGTTCTGGGTACAAAAATATTTGACCTCTTTCCCTACCCTCTTCTTTCTTTCTTTTTTTTTTTTTTAAAAAAAAAGTTGTCCATTTTTTTTTATGGCACCGGATCTTAACTGACTAAAGAGCCCTTGAAGAGACATAGCGTCGTTGTTGGCTTTTTATCGACCCATCTTATTTTCTTCTTTGGGAAAGGTTTACTGGCCGGGGTCCGGTGCTACGATTGTAGGCTCGAAGAGTCATTGCCATTACTGGTTGGTCCATCTTCTTATCAGCTTCCTTCGAGCATATCACTATTCTCATTCAAGGCAGACTGGTCCAAAAACACTCAAAATGCAACTGATCGGCATGAAGTCAGCAGACGATGTAACCCTTACTGAGTGGATTACTTGATATCTTAAACAGTTCCCTGGTTGATTGATACTGCTCTGATTAAACTTATCGCACATCTGGCTACCACCAACCGCCCAAATTCCTCAAATATCTTTCACGCACTACGATACCCTATATGATTAGATATCGTAGGTTATCGCCGTTAATGCCCTACCTTAAATTGTCATTTGATCAGTTTATTTAATAGATTCATAGTTTACCGACGCTGGTGTACATTTTACACGCTAATCAAAAGGGTAATTATCAAATGAAGCAAGTGCCGGTTTGAGATGAGTATTAAAACAGAAACACAAGTTAATTACAACTGGGCAACCTTAACATGATCTGCCAAGACAAGGACTTTGGTAAGTAGGAGTTTTCTATTCCTTAAAACTGATGACAAGAAATGACCTTTTCAAGTTTATTTAGTTTAAGTTAGAAACACCATGTTTCTATTTATTTTGACCTTTCAGCTCGCGTGCACATCGTTAACAGTCCTTTTCGTAAGCCGAAACTTTTATAAAGTATCAATTGAAAGCACTGAAAGTGCCAACTTAATTAATCGTAAATTGAATTAACATTGCATTGAAATAACTTTACATATAACGAATTTTCTTACTGCGAGGGTATGTAAAAGAGATATTTTCACGATTCCCATGGAAGGCTAAAAACTGTTGCACTGGCGTTTTGCTTGCATTAGTAAAATGCATGAGACAGAGACCGAATGAGCCGCAATGATATTAGGTAACCCCAGGATTCCTGCCCTTAGGATTTCTGTCTAAAATGTTTATTTTAAGGAGACTCAAGCACTTTGAAATGGCGGTGAAAATAGACACTGGATTTCAAATTCAAAATCGTATCAATAACAAAAGGGTTACTGACCAACGCAAAATTCTAGATAATGCAAAACAAATGTAGAATGCAGAGTAGAGGAAAATGGACAAATTCACATGCTTTACACTTATGATTCGTCAGTGTCAGGGTAAACGGGGCGTTTCTTTAACGCGACATGACAAAAATTTACATTAAAAGGTATCAAATGAGGCGGGATTTTATTAATGTTATTAATACTATGACTGTGCGTTTTCGTGAATGTTGTTCCTCAGTGTCCATGCATGTTGTTTGTTGATGCACCATTCATCCAATTGGACCACCGGATGTAATAATGACCTGTTTCATTGTGCCATCAACGTTGCCGATTGCGGCATTCGCTTACCAGCAAGCTGCAGACGTGCAACCAATTAAGGTTATCACTAAAGTCACACTATTTTCCCTGTCGTGAACGCTAATTTTGTCCCCCGCAGATTTGCACGACATTTGGTTTTAGTAATCTCGTCGTCTTCAGTCATTCTACAAGTGAAGCACTATATGAGCAAGCGTGCTGCAAGAGAAGCAACGGGTTCTGTAAGTAACTTGCAACATCTTCAGATTTCTTTATCTAAATTAATTCATAAATACAATGTCGAGACACGAATATATTTAGGGCATGGCATGGCATGGCAATTGGTTTTAGCATTATGGCTGAACAGGACATTTTGTCTCGGAATAGCACATGCATTTTGTCACGCATCGAAGGATAGTCTGGTGTTCATTTTGATTCTCCAATTGACCGATAAATGAAAATGGGAAATTCCTTAATTCGATGAATTGGCGATGAACGAGTATTTCATCTTGTTTAGATATTATAAATATCAATAATTAATTAAATATGTTACGGAATTCAAGACGTTTTTTTTTTTCGCGTGGAAAAGCAATGCGTGTAGCAACCAATAACATCTGCCCTTAGGTTTTTGTGTGATGGCAGATGAATTCATGTAATATGATTTCTTGATATAGGCGATGAATCATAAAGGTAGATCCTTTCATAACGAGAACACTCAAAGGCCAAAACACTCCAAGAGCATTTACAAGACTTTTGTACACGTGGAACTTAATTAATGAGAGTCACCTATATCGCTAAAAAGCGGCGTCCAAGACAAGTCCTTTGCCATCAAAGGCATTTGAAAAAAAACATTGAAAGTTCTAGCAATCGAAAAATATAACTGTAACATAATATAAAGTAACTCACGACCATTTTTTTCGCCGAAAGAATATGTATTTTTCTTATATATATTGATTTCGCGATGTTCTCTCCAAACCTAAATAACGGCTGCACTATTAACCTACATCAATGTCTGCATTCCTGCTCGAGATCATGAAATATCAACCACAGGCGGCAATGGATAATCAATTGGAGTATTTCCAAACACAAGTAAGATCCGTTTAACAATTGGAAAGCTTTCAAATAATCCAAATTTTTTGAAGAACAGTGTAGTCTAAGTCTTTGCTTGCATCAGTGTTCCTTGGTGGTATGCCGAAGAGATAATTAATTGATGGCAGGTCAACCTGTGCGCGATAACGAACCATTCCTTCCATCTAACCAAAACTGATGGCACAACTATCCCATATAAAGAATCTTTCTTAAAAGACCTTAAACATGTTCCTTTATGTCAAAGCCCAGTACGAAATGCTGCTTATTTTTCTGTAAAGGCGTCAGCTGCCTTGCGTTGCGCACTAAAGTGATGCTTCAATTCTTCTGCTTTCGTGTGGTCTTTTAAAGAAAGTTCAATGAATTAAGATGGCTTATCAACAGCTATCAGCAGACAGGGTGGAAAGYTGAGTTGCAAACTGAATTCTTGACATATGAAAAACTAACAGATACCCCTTTAGCAACCCCTTTAGTAATGCATCCAATCTAGTTTTCATTGATCCAATGTGTCTAACTCGTTAGCACCTCATTTGCTCACTATCAGACACTTCAATTCCAAGTTAGTCATAGTCATTGCATGTCGAATCAAAAAATCTGTTCTAAGGTCATGTGCGCCACCGTTCATGAGTACATAGTTTGAGTACATAAGTATCGGAAACAGGCTTAATAAAATATATCCTGTTCTTGTAAGGTGGTTAAGACGACTCTCATAGATCCTAAAATCCCGGAAAGAGATTTAGATGTAAGCTAAATATATAAGTAGTCTCAAGGGTTAAGAAAACAGTTCCATATCCATGCATCGTAGTAGTATGTTTATAATTTGCTGATGTGTCATCAAGCTAGGAAAAGCGCTAGCATCACTCACCAAATATTAACACTGATCGTTGTCTGATATCGTTCAGAATTCTCTTTGATCAAATAAAAGCTTGCCCTTCTAATTATATCTCTATATTAGAATGGTTATTTGTTAAAAGGGGTTAGGAATATCAATCAACAAAGCTCACGGATTCAGTGACTGCGGGCAAGACATGGGACTGAGTCGAGATTAATGACCCACACCTTCCAGTCATGCAAGGATCGGGTCCGATGGGTAAAGCTAGCCGCTATACATGACACATTGGCTTTCGTCCACTTACAACTTGTTTTTGTCCAACAAAATTGTTTAATCAGTTTAGTTTGAGCTGTATTTTGTTATTTTGAGCACAGTTCATTTTAGCTAACCTCAAGTAGTACTTGCACCATCACAAAGTATCCTGTACAAAAATATAATCATTTGTTGATTATTTCTCCAGCAACATTTTGGCGAACAAATCATGCAGCTAGCTTAGTTGAGCCATATTTTACTATTTTGAGCAGAAGTTCATCTTAGCTAACCTCAAGTCTACATGTAAGGCCAAAGTATCGTGTACAAAAAAAATACATCTTTTGTTGATTATTTTCTCTAGCAACATTTTGGCAAAATTGTTAAATCAGCTTAGTTGAGCGGTACTTAACTATTTTGAGCAGAAGTTCATCTTAGCTAACCTCAAGTAGTACTTGTACCATCACAAAGTATCGTGTACAAAAATAATACATCTTTTGTTGATTATTTTCTCTAGCAACATTTTGGCAAAATTGTTAAATCAGCTTAGTTGAGTTCATCTTAGCTAACCTCAAGTCTACATGTAAGGCCAAAGTATCGTGTACAAAAATAATACATCTTTTGTTGATTATTTCTCTAGCAACATTTTGGCAAAATTGTTAAATCAGCTTAGTTGAGCGGTACTTAACTATTTCGAGCAGAAGTTCATCTTAGCTAACCTCAAGTAGTACTTGTACCATCGCAAAGTGTCGTGTACAAAAATATAATCATTTGTTGATTATTTCAGTCTAGCAACATTTTGGCAAAATTGTTAAATCAGCTTAGTTGAGTTCATCTTAGCTAACCTCAAGTCTACATTTAAAGCCAAAGTATCGTGTACAAAAATAATAATTTTTTTGTTGATTATTTTCTCTAGCAACAAAAATAGAAAGTAGCACGACGCTTTTGCCCGCATAGTGAACTTCTCATTTTTGACATTTTCTCTTATCTTCTGGCAATGTTTTGAAACAGCTAAGATGTTGAGTCAAAATATGAAAAAAAAGTCAGGAGTTCAAGTTCCAGTCTTAAAAAGAGGATCTTTAAGGATCAACAGGGATTATAAGAGCCGATAGGATTAGAAAAAATAAATCCAACCGCAACCGCAAGCTGTGACTCTTTAAAAGATATAACGGTGCATTTACAGCGCCGGGTTCTGGATATTTTTTGAGTTGGATGAATAAATCGCAATAATCAAGCGTTCACTTGTATATATTTCAGACAACCAGACAGCAGTTAGTTAACTCTTTGTGGGACATTTTAAGCTGCATTAAAAAAAAAAAAACGTCTCCATTAAAAATATTGGCTTTCCAGGCGAATCTTACTTCTACGGAAAAAAATAACTTGAGCCAATGTTCAGCTGATTTGCTCTGGATGTAAGAGCTGGCATTATCATAGCCATTGTAATTCAGTATAGCTCAGCTCAGCTATGATTTCTTTGCGACTAGATATATCTTGATACTGGTTATGTCCTGACAAGGTTTGGTAACGTAACGGTGACCACAGCCTCAGTGTGTCACGCAAAACACGAACCATCACATAATGCTTCCGTAAGTACATGTAAGTACTGATATACAAGTTACTAGAAAAGCCATCCATTAACTTGGCATGAGAATAATACATGATAATTCTAGTTTAAATTGCATTATTGGGTACCTATATAATTCAGCTATTGCGTTCAGCTCGTGAATGTACAGCAAACAAAACATATAATATCGAGATTAAAATATTGCTACAGCGAAGGCGATAACTACAAACTCCAGCATACAAGGAAAAACTAGACATGATATGATCTTGATCATTACGCGTCATTAAAGATGCAAGTATGACAAACGACCCCCTCTATTGTGGACTCCCAAGAGACTGTCATTTATGGTTTGAATAAGGATTAGTGATATTGGGCTTCTGTGACAACTTAGCTAATATTCTTCACATTACGTGCAATGATCTTTGCTTCAGGACTACCAGCGTTTGCTCTACACTCAAGAGTCATCATCAAAAATGTTTTCTTGAGGGAACGATTTTCGCACCCATTTTTATGGGTTCCAGAGGAACACAGTGATTGTTCGGATGCACAAGGGCTTAATGCAGTAAACAATTAGTGTAGTAATATCACAATAGTCTGACAAAGTAACATTAACTTAACCACTTAAGTGAAGTATTCAGTAGTAATATTTATACGTCGATAAGGGATGATATCAGTAGTGTTCTAAAATGTCTGACATGCCATGCATTAGGCTTTATAAAATACCCTTGCATGCCACCCTTCATTTCCCAGTCATACCAAACGTCAAATGGTCTCTAGTAATTTAGGTCCTAGTAAGTTCTTGATTTTATTTCTCGCCATATTACGAATAGTTGCTGCGGTATTAGCGACCTAGACCATTTTACAACTATTCCACGAACTGGAGTCGTATATGACCTCATAGTCAACATTGACTGTGTTCACAGTAATGTTTCAAATACGAGTTGCTGTATTCTATTGGAGTTTCAAAATCCAAGTGGAATTTCAAATGCCGAGACGTAACTCGTAGACGAGTATTTGATACGACATCTTATACTCTTTTTATTATGTTTTTTTTTTAATTTCAAAGTTCTAATACTCTGAAATATTTCAAATTCCGAGTAGTAGGACTTTGAAGTATTTCAAAATACTAAAACTTTGAAATGGATGCAGTCGTATTTGATGGGGGTTTCAAACTACTGCACGTGGTACAAATAAAAACCTCATGAATAATTAATGAGTGTAAGATTATGAGCTCACCGAGTTTTGAATTTTTTTTACTAATGGTATATGAGCTGATGGCCTAGTAACAGAGTAGGCAATCAGATCAGTGGTGATGATTTTTTTCAGGAAGTTGAATAAAGCCTAACTCAGTATATTCTGTTGAGTCGTATGAAACAAGGAAAAGGATATTTTTAAATTTCTGGAAAAAGAAAATAAGAGTCAAATAAAGCAGTTGGTTACCACTAATCTCAATTTATTCAGATTATAGGCTTCTTCGTTTTTGGCACTAGCATATATAGCGTATGACAATC